TGCACACACACACCCTGCACACACTGCATCCTCTACACACCCGCCCTGCACACACTGCATCCTCTACACACCTGCCCTGCACACACTGCATCCTCTACACACCCGCCCTACACACACTGCATCCTCTACACACAACCTTCATCAACACTCACCCTGCACACACTGCATCCTCTACACACTCGCCCTGCACACACTGTATCTTCTACACACTGCATTCTCTACACACTCACCCTGCATCCTCTGCACACTGCATTGTCAACACGCTCGCCCTGCACACACTGCATTCACTACACACCCGCCCTGCACACACTGCATCATCTACACACTCACGCTGCACACACTGCATCCTCTACACTCACCCTGCACACACTGCATCCTCTATGCACTCACCCTGCATCGTCAACACACTCACCCTGCACACACTACTTCCTCTACACACTCACGCTGCACACACTGCATCCTCTACACTCACCCTGCACACACTGCATCCTCTATGCACTCACCCTGCATACACTGCATCTTCTACACACTGCATTCTCTACACACTCACCATGCACACACTGCATCCTCTACACACTTGCCCTGCACACACCCGCCCTGCACACACTGCTTCCTCTACACACCCGCCCTGCACACACTGCTTCCTCTACACACCCGCCCTGCACACACTGTTTCCTCTACACACCGCTTCCTCTACACACCCGCCCTGCACACACTGCTTCCTCTACACACTTGCCCTGCGCACACTGCTTCCTCTACACACTCGCCCTGCGCACACTGCTTCCTCTACACACTCGCCCTGCGCACACTGCTTCCTCTGCACACTCGCCCTGCGCACACTGCTTCCTCTGCACACTCGCCCTGCGCACACTGCTTCCTCTACACACTCGCCCTGCACACACTGCTTCCTCTACACACTCGCCCTGCACACACTGCTTCCTCTACACACTCGCCCTGCACACACTGCTTCCTCTGCACACTCGCCATGCACACACTGCTTCCTCTACACACTCGCCATGCACACACTGCTTCCTCTACACACTCGCCCTGCGCACACTGCTTCCTCTAAACACTCGTCCTGCGCACACTGCTTCCTCTATACACACCCTGACAGTTATACAATTACACCAGCTTTCACACATCGCCACACTGCACCCTGACACTCATAGCGCCCAGTCTTGTATACATTAAAGGGACACTATAGTCACCAAAATAACTTTAGCTTAATGAAGCAGTTTGGGTGTATAGGTCATGCCCTCACTGCACACACTCCTTCTTCTACACACTCGCCCTGCACACACTACATCCTGTACACACCCGCCCTGCACAGACTGCATCCTGTACACACCTGCCCTGCACACACTGCATCCTGTACACACCCGCCCTGCACACACTGCATCCTGTACACACCCGCCCTGCACACACTGCATCCTGTACACACTCGCCCTGCACACACTGCATCCTGTACACACTCGCCCTGCATCGTCAACACACTCACCTTATCTTCTACACACTCGCCCTGTATACACTGCATCCTCTTCACACTCACAATGCATCGTCAACACACTCACCCTGCACACACTTGCCATGCACACAATGCTTCCTCTACACACTCGCCCTGCACACACTGCTTCCTCTACACACTCGCCCTGCACCCACTGCTTCCTCTACACACTCGCCCTGCACACACCGCTTCCTCTACACACTCGCCCTGCACACACCCCTTCCTCTACACACTCTCCCTGCACACACTGCATGTGACTTACACAGCCTTCCTATACACTTCCTGTAAATAACCTAGATATTTTAGGTTCCTGTATTGCACAGTCTGTTTACTCTAGAATGTCTTAGCTTCCTGCACCCTGCACAGCCTCCTTTGTTTGATTAAAAGTCTGATTGAAATTGACACAATTTTTTCATGCAGGCTGTGTCAGTCAAAGCCAGGGGAGGTGTGGCTAGGGCTGCATTAACAGAAACAAAAGTGATTTAGACTGCAGGTACATGTATTCCTCACCCTATGGTGTTTAAACCACCATTTAGGCAGCTTGCCCCCCTCTGCCCCCCCAGCCACATTCAGAAAAGGTGAAAACTCACCTTATTTCCAGCGCCGCACAGTTCCACCGACGCTAGACCAGTCCCAGATCTGACATCAGAATTGCCGATTTTTAGGGAAAGCATTGGCTGAAATCGGCAAGGACGCAGGGTCAAACACCATTTTAGCCAATCAGTACCTCCTGAATCAATGCATCTATGAGTAAAATTCAGTGTCCCCATGCAGTGCGTGGACACGCTGAACGGCAGTGCTGCCTACTGTGCAGCACTGCCCCAGGAAGCACCTCCAGTGGCCATCTGAGGAGTGGCCACGTGGAGGTGTCCTAAGGGGGCATTGTAAGCACTGACTTTTTTCTGAGAAGGCAGTGTTTGCATGAAAATGCCTGCATATAATGATTATACTCACCAGAACAACTATATTAAGCTGCAGGTGTGCAGGTGACTATAGTGTCCCTTCAATGCCTATAGTATCCCTATTCACTGACAACTGGTTCATTCACTGAAGCTATGACATCAGAGAAAGCGCTACGATGTACAAACAAGCATCATTTGTTTCTATACTGTTCTGTACTCAGAGTTTCTGGGCAATTATGGTTTTATTCACTGTATTAACTTCTGTAAAGTACATGAATAAACCACAAACACGGAAGTTGCAGTATACAAAACATCAACTCTCCTGGAACTTTCTGGGTGGAAAGTCTTGATTCTGAGTCCCTGTACTGCTGTCCCCAGCTTCAGGGGACACATAGATACTCTATGTGCCCACAGGAGAATACTAGAAAACTGGATACAAAAATGTGTTATAATGTAACATGTGATCATTATATTTACTGCCAGATTCTCTAAGATTGTCATGACAAAAAGTCCAATCTAAATACGTTATAGTGCTAAATCCACATTGTCCATAAGTCATGACACCTCTGACTTTTTTTTATTTATTTTTTTAACACCAAACTGACCTTTCACCATGAAGATGAAAAAAAAGAATTAAAAGCAAACAAATATGCTCAATTCTGGGTCCAGCATAAAGTGTATTCCCCACACTGTAGTGTTCCTTTAATATCGCCTGATTTTTGTCCTATTTGCTTAAAGGAAAGTATTCCCAATTATACATACTTATGGTGGTTCTACAAGCCTGCAGGGTATTAGAATACAGTACACTGAAGACATTATGAACTCGGTTACATACGTTGCACTAAATGTTAGGCCAATTCATAGTACGAAGGGTCACAAATACAGTTTAGTCCTTGGTGGTCTTACAAGGATCAGATTTTTTTATATCTTTTAGTTT